GTTATTCTTGTCCACATGTATACTTTTTCCCATTAAACTCAGTCAGTTTCAGCATGACCGAGGCTGGAGCCACACCAGCAACATAATTCAGCTCCAGATCACAGGATTTTGCCCAGACTAATTTGTAATGTTTTTGATTTTTTTTTTTATCGTGTCAGGAGCAACTTGAGAAACTGCAAGTTGCTTCTGGTATGAGAGAATTGGCCGTCTGCAAGGATGTTGCCCAGGGGACGCCTGGATGATTTGATGTTTTATCATCCTTGTGGGAGGCTTCTCTCATGTCCCTGCATGAGGAGCTGGAGCTGATAGAGGGAGCTCATCGCCTCTCCCCGGATTTGAACCTGCGACCTGTCAGTCTTCAGTCCTGCCGGCACAGGGGTTTAACTCACTGTGCCACTGGGGGCTCCTACGGGGAGATGGTGGCAGGGTATAAATAAAGATTATTATTATTATTGTTATTGTACATGGAGAAGACAATTATGCTGGGGAAAGTGGAAGGCAAAAGGAAGAGGGGCCGACCAAGGGCAAGATGGATGGATGGCATCCTTGAAGTGACTGGACTGACCTTGAGGGAGCTGGGGGTGGTAACGGCCGACAGGGAGCTCTGGCGTGGGCTGGTCCATGAGGTCACGAAGAGTCGGAGACGACTGAACGAATGAAAAACAACAAACACTACTATGACCTGACTTTTGTTCCTGGATTATATGTCACTTCATACTTGGCTCTGCTGCAAGTCGCTTTTAGTCACTTCTGGTGTGAGCGAATCAGCCATCTACAAAGACGTTGCCCAGGGGATGCCCAGATGTGTTGCAATCTTGCAGGGAGGCTTGTCTGCGGCCTACACCACTGGAGAAATTATACTGTTTAGCTGGTGTTGCACCACCCGACATCCGTTGGGAAGTAGCAGTCAGTAATGAAAGGACCAAGGCAGTGACATCTCCAGCCCATCCTCTGTTCGGATATCATCCAGTAAGCCAATGCCTTATATCAAGAAATAGCTTCCTAAGATCTACAGAGATACTTGCAGGAACACCTCAGCAAGCGAGAGTCCAAAAATGGCAGACTAAAAACCAGAACTTCAAGCCATGGCTGATACCAAATGAGAGTCTCCCCCCTGGGCACACAGAAAACTGAGAGACTTGGAAGGCGCTGAACAGACTGTGCTCTGGCACCACGAGATGCAGAGCCCGCCTTCAAAAATGGGGCTACAAAGTGGAGTCCACGACATGCGAGTGTGGAGAGGAGCAAACCACAGACCACGTACTACAATGAAGCCTGAGCCCTGCCACATGCACAAGGGAGGCCAGCTTCTAGGAAACTTAATATAACACCAAGTTTTTAACTTTGTTTGTGTTTTTAAATACATTATAACTGTATCCTCAATTTGCTTCTGACATGATAAACAAATAAGAACAAATAATCCATATATAGAGCCCCCGGTGGCGCAGTGGGTTAAACCCTTGTGACAGCAGGACTGAAGACTGACAGGTCGCAGGTTCGAATCTGGGGAGAGGCGGATGAGCTCCCTCTATCAGCTCCAGCTTCTCATGCGGGGACATGGGAGAAGCCTCCCACAAGGATGATAAAACATCAAATCATCCGGGCATCCCCTGGGCAACGTCCTTGCAGACGGCCAATTCTCTCACACCAGAAGCGACTTGCAGTTTCTCAAGTTGCTCCTGACACGACAAAATAAAATCTATATAAATAAAAATGTAATATTTGTTTGTGGGATTAACATAACCCAAAAACCACTGCACAAATTGACACCAAATTTGGACAGAATACACCTATCAGGCCAACGAGTGGCCATCACTCATAAAAACACTGCTTCCAAGATGCAAGCTTTCTTCTCCTTGGACTTCTTTGAGAGCATCCCAATCCCTGCGTATTTCCAGTTTCCTATTCCTGGACTGCAACTCCCAGCAATCATCCAGATAGGTAGATTAGATAGTGATAGATAGGTAGGCAGGCAGATCGATCGGGAGGACTGCTGGGAGTTGCAGTCCAAGAATAGGTAGAGAAGGGAGAAATATTCTAGAACACCTGGAATATTCTGGGCACCACAATTGAAGAGAGATATTGACAAACTGGAATGTGTCCAGAGGAGGGCGACTAAAATGATCAAGGGTCTGGAGAACAAGCCCTATGAGGAGCGGCTTCAAGAGCTGGGCATGTTTAGCCTGAAGAAGAGAAGGCTGAGAAGAGACATGATAGCCATGTATAAGTATGTGAGAGGAAGCCACAGGGAGGAGAGAGCAAGCTTGTTTTCTGCTGCCCTGGAGAGTAGGACGTGGAAAAATGACTTCAAACTACAAGAAAGGAGATTCCATAATATCTTGTATATACATATAATATTAATAATATTATAATGTAATGCAATATGATAATAATATGTTATAATTATATATTTATATTACATGTAATATTACTGATAATATTACAATATAAGGGTATAGTGCAGTATAGTAATATTTAATATTGATATTGTACTATGCTAATAACATAATATATTGTAAGTATATATATATATATATAACATAATATAGCAATATATTATGTTATTAGCAATATATTACATATAATGTAATACAGCAATATATTATATTATTAGCATATTATTATATATATCTTGTATAGTGCTCTGAGTCCCCTTCGGGTGAGAAGGGCAGCATATAAATGTTGAAAATAAATAAATAAAATAAAATAATAGTATCTGATCCCATATTATCTGCTTTGAAGTGGATTATATGAGTCTACATTGCTACAGAATCAAAGCAGATAATATAGTAGGTTGCCCCTATGAGGAGCGGCTTGAAGAGCTGGGCATGTTTAGCCTGAAGAAGAGAAGGCTGAGAAGAGACATGATAGCCAGGTATAAATATGTGAGAGAAAATCATAGGGGGGAGGGAGCGAACTAGTTTTCTGCCTTCCTTCTTCTTTCCTCCCCCCCTCCCCTCTCCCTCCCCCCTCCCCTCCCTCTCCCCTCCTCCCCCTCTCCCCTCCTCCCCCTCTCCTCTCCCCTCCTCTCCCCTCCTCTCCCTCTCCCCTCCCTCTCCCCTCCTCTCCTCTCCCCTTCCGGAGACTAGGATGCAATGGAGATTGGCTTCAAACTACAAGAAAGGAGATTCCATCTGAACATGAGGAAGAACTTCCTGACTGTGAGAGCCGTTCAGCAGTGGAACTCTCTGCCCCGGAGTGTGGTGGAGGGTCCTTCTTTGGAAGCTTTTAAACAGAGGCTGGATGGCCATCTGTCGGGGGTGCTTTGAATGCAATTTTCCTGCTTCTTGGCAGGGGGTTGGACTGGATGGTCCATGAGGTCTCTTCCAACTCTATGACTCTATAATTAGGTAGGCAATTCAGCAGTGGAACTCTCTGCCCCGGAGTGTGGTGGAAGCTCCTTCTTTGGAAGCTTTGAAACAGAGGCTGGATGGCCATCTGTCGGGGGTGATTTGAATGCAATTTTTCTGCTTCTTGGCAGAAAGGGGTTGGACTGGATGGGCCATGAGGTCTCTTCCAACTCTATGAAGAACTTCCTGACTGTGAGAGTTGTTTAGCAGTGGAACCCTCTGCTCCAAAGTGTGGTGGAGGCTCCTTTTTTGGACACTTTTAAGTTGAGGCTGGATGGCCATCTGTCGGGGGTGCTTTGAAGGCGATTTCCCTGCTTCTTGGCAGGGGGTTGGACTGGATGGTCCACAAGGTGTCTTCCAACTCTAAGATGCTATCTTTGTTGCTTCATATATGACTAGGTTCTTCTGAAAACACCGGCTATCCATTCATGTATACATTGCTCTCAGTTTTGATAGTCTATACTTGAAAGTACCACATAAATACAAAGAGTTTTAACAAACAATGGCTTCAAACTACAAGAGAGGAGATTCCATCTGAACATGAGGAAGAACTTCCTGACTGTGAGAGCCGTTCAGCAGTGGAACACTCTGCCCCGGAGTGTGGTGGAGGCTCCTTCTTTGGAAGCTTTTAAACAGAGGCTGGATGGCCATCTGTCAGGGGTGCTTTGAATGCAATATTCCTGCTTCTTGGCAGAATGGGGTTGGACTGGATGGCCCATGAGGTCTCTTCCAACTTTGATTCTAGTATGATTCCGCTGTTCAGCAGTGGAACTCTCTGCCACGGAGCGTGGTGGAGGCTCCTTCTTTAGAAGCTTTTAAACAGAGGCTGGATGGCCATCTGTCAGGGGTGATTTGAGTGCTGCAATATTCCTGGGAGACTAGGGGGCGGAACAATGGCTTCAAACTACAAGAGAGGAGATTCCATCTGAACATGAGGAAGAACTTCCTGACTGTGAGAGCCGTTCAGCAGTGGAACTCTCTGCCCCGGAGTGTGGTGGAGGCTCCTTCTTTGGAAGCTTTTAAACAGCGGCTGGATGGCCATCTGTCAGGGGTGATTTGAATGCAATATTCCTGCTTCTTGGCAGAATGGGGTTGGACTGGATGGCCCATGAGGTCTCTTCCAACTCTTTGATTCTATGATTCTATTGTGAGGACCCCCAACCATAAGATTATTTTCCTTGCTGCTTCATAATAAGAAGGAAGGAAGGAGAGAAAGAAAGAAGAGAAAGAGGGAGGGAAAATTGGCCACAGCAGGGGGGGTCAGCTAGTTGGCTCATAAAATCATAAACACATGGGAAAAAAGTTGATAAAACTTCCAAAACTTTGTTTTTGAGGGAGGAACAGCCTGCAACACATTTTGCTCAAAGAATGTCTTATAGAGTCTCAACCAGGTATGGGCAAACTGGAGCCCTCCAGGTGTTTTGGACTTCAACTCCCACAATTCCTAGCAGCCGGTAGGCTGCTAGGAATTGTGGGAGTTGAAGTCCAAAACACCTGGAGGAGCGGCCAAGTTTGGCCTACCTCTTGCTTCCTCACTCACAATCCTGAGGATGGTGATGGTGCCCCCAGCTGCTCTCTTCCCACCCAGCCCTTTCCTCTCTTCTCCCTTTCCTCTCTTCTTTTGGGGACTGAGTGGGGATCCTTCCTTACCTGCCGCTGGCTGCCAAGGTGTTGAAAAGGTAAGTGACCGGGATGGCAGAGAGGGACAAGACGAAGACCCCGGTAGCCGCCGAGGCGCTCATCCTAGCAGCTCTCGGGCTCCTTCTCTCCTTTCCTCCCTCTCCCTCTCTCTCTAGATAGGAGGGAGGGGCGAGGGAGAGAGCTGCCCCCCCCCCTGCTCTTTTTGTTCAAGTGGAGCACAGTCAGTTCCTCTTTCAAAGCCTGCATGCATTCAAACCGAAAAGAATCCCACACCTTGTGTGACTGTGGAGCAGAACAAGACACCTCTGCATCTGTATTCTTGTCCATCGTGCCCCGTCTCATGTACAGAGGAGGAATTGTTGGAGGCTACAGACAATGCCGGTGCTGTTGCCCGTTTTGGGTCGAAAGATATTTAGCCGCCTGCACACCTTCTATTTTTTTGTCAGTTTTATGCTAATTTATGCAATGCTTTTTGTTCCGTCTCCCAGGAGCCTGATTTGCCTTACTTTATAGTTGCTTTATTATTAGTTGCGAGTGGAGAGGGGAGGCCTGTCTCACCTGAGAGGTCCCTCTTATCGGTGGGGTTCACTCAGGTGGCCTTCCCTTCACCTCTCGTTGTTTTAACATATCTATGCCGACAACCTGCCTCAGCTGAGTCGCCGAGGTTTAGCGGCTTGGATGTTATCAGCGAATGCGAGGACACTCAGCGTGGTGCTGAAGATGGAAGGTTCTTCCTGACGGCCTCTGGGACATGACTGATTAGTTTCCATCGTGCCTCGATTGGCCGCTTCTGGATGCCCCCAGCGCTTGCACCATCGCAGGGCTGACGGGTGAATCCGGCACGACGGAGACCCTCCCATGGCTGTGGCTCGAAAAGCCTGGCCACGTGGGTGATATCCCACACGCCCGCCCACCTGGATGGCGACGGCGTTACACCCGCTTACATCATTGGTCTAAGTAGTTGGGACGCGTTCCTCTTGGCCCCCCCTCCTGCTCCGACAATGGAGGCCCAGGTCTCCGCCGGTGAGCAGAACCGCCTTCTTTCACCTGCGGCAGGCTAGACGGCTGGCCCCCTCCCTGTCCAGGGACGACCTAGCTACGGTGATCCAGGCCACGGTCATCTCAAGACTGGACTACTGTAACGCCCTCTACATTGGCCTTCCTCTGTCGGTGATCCGGAAGCTCAAGCTGGTACAAAACGCAGCTGCTCGGCTTCTTGCGGGAATTCCGATGAGATGCCACATAACACCAATCTTACTGCAGCTGCATTGGTTACCAATTGAGCACCGGATCACTTTCAAAGTGATGGTACTCACCTTTAAGGCCTTGCATGGTCTGGGGCCAATGTATCTGAGGGATCGTCTCACCCCCTACCAACCCCAGAGATCCCTCCGCTCTGAGGACAAAGATCTATTGGAAGTCCCCAGTGTCAAGACCTTGCGTCTAACGGCAACCAGACGCAGAGCCTTCACAGCAGTGGCGCCATCAGTCTGGAATGCTCTGCCACCTGAAGTTCATGCCCTGCAGGACTTACCAGCTTTCCGCAGGGCATGTAAGACATACCTGTTTCGACAGGCTTTTAATGTTTGATACTGTTGTTTTTAAATTGTTTTAAATTGCTTTTAAATTTTGTTAGATTTTAGCTATTCTTGTAAGCCACTCCCCAAACTGAATAGGGGTTCTGTCACAATAATTAAATAAATAAAACCTAAGAAGAGCTTTAGACAACTCTCCATCTGGAGAACTAAGCAAAGGTTTCAATACTTTTCTTTTTTCTTTTAACCAAGAAAGTTTGGGAACAGGGATTGCCGAGCCTCCTTGCTTAGTTCAGCAAGATCTTTTCTAACTAGGGAGCTCGGGGTGGGATGGTCACACATCGACAGTCACGAAGAAGTCAGAGGAAGACTGTCCCTGCTCCCTCTTTCTGAACGACTCTCCACCTTCACGACTGAATGAATGAACAACAACAATAGTTGCTTGAGATTGCTTCCTTTTGCATTTTCTCCCAGGGCTGCTGCAGCTTTGCAAGAGTCCTAAAAGTTAATAGTATCAGAGTCTGTAGACCTCTTTGCAACCATTGGCTTAGAGAGCAGCTCTTTGAGTTTAGGGACCGCCTTTTCTCCCAGGGAAAGATCTCCATTTTAGATTTACCCCTGCCTTTTCAGTTTGAGGAAAGACTTCAGACGTGCTGATGGCTAGGCGATTAGCTCTGGGGAAGCCATTGCAAAACTAAATTGAGTAAGCTATATTAAGCTGTAGATAGTATATTATACATTATAGATAAGTATTAAGCTATCTTGAGTTAATATAGATAGTATATTGTGTATTGAGCTGTATTGAGATATTATAGACAGATAAGCTTAATTGAGAAGATTGAGTTATATAGTTATAGAGAGAGAGTCTTCACTACTTTGTCTCCAGAACTAACCTTAAGTTATAGATAGGGGGAAAAAACTGCTTTTTTCTAACCACAACGGCTTAAGGTTAGGGTGTAAAGATTCCAGGATCTTATCTGCCATTTGAAGAAAAGGTTACCTCTGTAACTAAAGAAAAGAAAGAATATCTCTGTAATTTCATTTATTGACTGTTTGTTTGCAATTTTGATGAACTGTGCCAAGTCTTCAAGAACTTTGAATAAATAAATATCCTTTTTTGATGTTTAAGACCAGTAATAGTCTCAGTTGTTGAGTATCTCAAGCTTCTCAATATAGACACCTGCAGTTTGCTCAGACATAGAGAGAAGCACGTCGCAGTTTTATTTTTTATATCGTCTGGGCAGACGGCACACTTTTGATACGAAATAAAAAAGTTCCTGTTGAAAGTCAATTGAGTTGATGTGTTGTCCAAGGCTTTCATGGCCGGAATCACTGGGTTGCTGTGAGTTTTTCGGGCTCTATGGCAGTGTTTCTAAACCTTCCTAATGCCGCGACCCCTTAATACAGTTCCTCATGTTGTGCTGACCCTCAACCATAACATTTTCGTTGCAACTTCATAACTGTCATTTTGCTCCTGGTATGAATTGTAATGTAAATATCTAGAATGCAGGAGATCTTTTCATTCACTGCACCAAATTTGGAACAAATACCCAATATGCCCAAATTTGAGTACTGGTGGTGGTGGGGAGGGGTTGATTTTGTCATTTGGAAGTTGTAGTTGTTGGGATTTATAGTTAACCTACAATCAATGAGCATTCTGAACTCCACCAACGATGGCATTGATCCAAACTTGGCACACAGAACTCTCATGACCTACAGAAAATACCAGAAGGGTTTGGTGGGCACTGACCTTAAGTTTTGGACGTGTAGTTCACCTATAGCCAGAGAGCCCTGTGGACTCAAACAATGATGGATCTGGACCAAACTTGGCACAAATACTCAATATGCGCAAATGTGAACTCTGGTGGAGTTTGGGAAAATAGACCTTGACATTTGGGAGTTGTAGTTGCTGGGATTTATAGTTAACCTACAGTCAAAGAGCATTCTGAACCCTACCAACAAGAGAATTGGGCCAAACTTCCCACACAGAACCCCCTTGACCAACAGAAAATACTGTGTTTTCTGGTGGTCTTTGGCGACCCCTTTGACACCCCATCGCGACCCATCCAGGGGTCCAGACCCTCAGGTTGAGAAACACTGCTCTATGTTCCAGAATATGGCCATAGGTAAAGATAAAAGTCTCCCATTGACATTGTCCAGTCGTGTCCGGCTCTGGGGGTTGGTGGTCACCTCCATTTCTAAGAGCCGGCGCTGTCCGTAGACGCCTCCTAGGTCATGTGGCCAGCATTTTAATTATGTATTTAGTAAAGTATAATTTAGTAAATTATATTTATATATTTACATTACATTATATTACATTATATTATATATTGCATGAAATATTATTAATAATATTGCAATATAATGGTATAGTGCAATATACTAATATATAACACTAATATTGTACTACGCTAATAATATACTGTATGAAAATATAACTTGTAAGCCACTATGAGTCCCCTTTGGGGTGAGAAGGGCGGCATATAAATGCTGTAAATAAATAAATAAAGGTATTCCCCTGTCCGTAGATGACTCCAAGGTCATGTGGCCAGCATTTTATTTACGTATTTATTAAAGGTTAGGTATTCCCCTGACATTAAATCCAGTCTTGTCCAACTCTGGGGGATGGTGCTCGTCTCCATTTCGAAGCCAAAGAGCCGGCGTTGTCTGTAGATTTCTCCAAAGTCATGTGGTCGGCATTTTATATACGTATTTAGTAAAGGTAAGTTCAAGGTTTTTCCCTGACATTAAGTCCAGTTGTGTCCGACTCTGGGGGATGGTGGTCATCTCCATTTCTAAGAGCTGGCGCTGTCCGTAGATGCCTCCTAGGTCATGTGGCCGGCATTTTATATATGTATTTAGTAAAGGTACGGTCAAGGTATTCCCCTGACATTAAGCCCAGTCATGTCCGACTCTAGGAGTTGGTGCTCATCTCCATTTCTAAGGCAAAGAATCGGCCCTGTACGTAGACGACTCCAAGGTCATGTAGCCAGCATTTTATTTACGTATTTAGTAAAGGTAGGTCAAAGTTTTCCCCTGACATTTGCTCATATTTGCATGCTTTCGACCTGCTAGGTTGGCATTAAAAAATAAGGTTTCTTTTCACATCTGAATAAGAAACAAACTCAAGAGAAGCCAGAACAAGGCCAGACATGGCTCTGAGTCAATCTGTTGCTGAAGAGGTGGCGGTATCGAGGAAGTGCCCTGATAAGTTGTTACGCAGCTGCATGGAACGGGCCATATAATCAGCCCATGCCTGAACTAGTGGCTTAATAACAATGAGTGGGCTCCTCATTGATAACAATGGGCGGGCTCCAAGTACACTTTAAGTGTCTGCAGCCTTTGGAACTCTGCTGCAGGCACGAAGGGAACAAATAATAATTTTGCAAAGGTGGGTTACATGCATCAAGTTGAAGTTCAAAACATCTGGAGGGCCCAAGTTGGCCCATGCCTGAAATAGTGGCTTAATAACAATAATAGGTGGGCTTCAAGTACACTTTAAGTGTGCAGCCTTTGGAACTCTCTGCTGCAGGCACGAAAGGAACAAATAATAATTTTGCAAAGGTGGGCTTCATGCATCAAGTTGAAGTCCAAAACACCTGGAGGGCCCAA